TCCATCTTACCCCAGAAAGAATGGCTGTCATCAAGAAGTCAGCCAATAACAAATACTGAGGGGCTGTGAGGGTAAAGGAACCCTTCTTCACTGTTCGCAGGAGTGTAGACTGTACAACCACTGTCGAAATCAGTGTGGTGAGGCCCACTGTGTGAGACCTTCCACCACGCTCTCAGGACCCCTCCACCCCTCTGAAGCTAACCCAAGCCCGCTGCATGAGTGAAAACTTCCCCCGTACTCTGGGAACCCCTCCAGACCCAGCCCAAGCCCAGGCCCTACAAGTGTGTGGGAGAGTGTCTGCGCTCCCCTGCGTCACCTGGACCCCTTCAGACCCAGCTCAAGCCTAGTATCCAGGCCTGGGGTGAAACTCTGCAGCTGAAGTCCCTGCAGAGAGACTAGGAGCCAGAACCACCCAACTAACCCAGGAGCAGAACATCTTGCCAGAGGGGCACAATAGGTTCACTTCTAAGGGCTACAGCAGGAAGGTGCTGAGCACAGCAGCCAGATTAAGCCAGCCACAACTGGATGAACTCAGACAGATCTGCACCCGAACTTCAGTAGGTGCTAAGGTTATAACTGCACCAAAGCTCTACAACAAAGATCAGAGGACAGTGCTGTACAAAATGACAAAGAGAAAGAGCAAAATGCAATCTCAGGCCCTGAGTCCACCCAGAACAAGCGCAGAGGACACTAGCACAGAAGAAATTGGGAATCACACAGCTGAAATGTCTGAATCAATAGCATCTGAATTAAAGAAACAACAGCAGAAAGGTATAGAGGAACTCAGATCAGAAATAACCTCTGAAATAAAAAAAGGAATCTCTGAACAGTGTCTAAAGTAAAGAATCAACTGCAGAAACATATAGAGGAAATCAAATCAGAAATAATCTCTGTAGTAAAAGAATTAATAACTGCTTCTCAAGAAGACACTGATTAAAAAAATAGAGATTAGAAAAACGACAGATTCCTTGAATGAGCAATACAGGAAAGAAATAGATCGCATGAAGCAGAGTCAAAGAGATATAGAGGAACTTAAAATCTCAGTCACAAGTTTGCAAAAACTGTTTGAGTGAAAGTGAAGATAGAGTTTCAGATCTTGAAGATGCTGTCACAGCTAGTCAAAAGAAATATAGGTGCTTTAATAAATAATACTGGAAAAACTGGTTTTGAACATGTTGAAGATTGAAATTGGACTCATAGCTTTTACCATACAGCAAACTAAAATAAAAATGGATCAAAGATCTGAATATTACAACAGAAACATTAAATCTGCTGCAAGATAGAATAGGTAGAACTCTTGAAGACACTGACATAGGCAAAGACTTTATGAACAAAACCCTGATCACACAAGAACTATCACAAAGAATCACAACTATCACAACTAGAAGCTGACCTTATTAAAAAAGCTTTTGGAGAGAAATGGATATCACCTACAGGATGTAAAGACAACAGGGAGTGTGGGAAGAATATTTTCCAGCTGTTCCTCAGATAAAGGATTATTACTGAGAACATATAAAGAATTAAAAAAAATCAAACCTTCTATAGTTAAATCAGGGCCACCACCACATAGTGATGGACCTAAGGAAGAGCCAGATTGTGGTGGGTGATACAAAGGCGGGGTTGCAGCAGAAAAATGATGAGGCTGGGAAGGAAATGTGAAGGTGTCTGTGATGGCTGAGTCCTTCTGAACTTCCTATGGAAGCCTGAGATCCCAGATGATCCCATGTGCCAGATGAAAGACTAATATTTTAATTGTAGATAGTTTGTCTACAGTCCTGGGATTTCCAAGTTAGACTTTTAGCCATCAGTGACTCAATTAATTTCTATAGTAAAGCTACCATAGGATCACATCTCAATTCTCATACCATGAAAAGCACATAGGAAGATATCATTGGGTGGATTTCCTCCACTAGGATTCAGCTGTACATAGGAAATTCCTGACCCAACTATTCCCTTCCGTGGAATGATGAGGAGACTCACTCTTTCCAATACTGAAATTGTGGTATTTCTCTTTGTTAAATGAAATTCCTGAAATCTAAAAAAAAAAAAAAAAAAAAAGAAAGAAAGAAAGAAAGAAAAAAAGAAAAAAGAAATCAGTGTGCAGATTTCTCAAAAAGTTAGGATTGGAAATCCCATTCAACCCAGCTATTCCTCTCCCAGGTATTTTTCCAGAAGAACTGAAAACATCATGCCACAGCAATATATGTGCACACATGTTTATGGCAGCACAATTTATCATATTGGAAACAACTCAAATGCCCATCAACTGAGGAACAGGAAAAAAAAAGATGTGATATTTTTACACAATGGAGTAATACTGAGCTATTTTTATTTTTTTATTGTAACTCAGTCAGTTGATTGAGTTGTCCCTGATACAGGAAAACTAAGTTTATTTACAAATTTTAAGTTGTTTTTTTTTTTTCGGAACCGGGGATTGAACTGAGGCCCTTGTTCTTGCCAGGGAAGCGCTTATTCTACTGAACCATCTCCCTGGCTCCCTCAAGCTATTTTTAAAAAACAACTAAATTCAAGGGTTTTCTATGTATTTAATACATAGTTTACAGGGTCTCACTACACAGATCGGACTTATAGTGATCCTTCTGTTTTCAGCCTCCCAAGTGCTGGGCTTACAGGTGTGTGCTACCACATGAAGTCTCAATCGCTGTCTCAGTGCACCCCCAGGGGCAGGGCTGGCATGGCATGCCGGGGATTGAACCCCAGTCCCTGCATCTGCCCAAGCAGGCACTTTAACTCACTGAGCTATCTGGCCGGCCCCAAGTCTTTTATAGGTAAATGGATGCAACTAGATACCACACTCATAAATAAATCAGACCTGCATGTACAAACATCATATTGTCTCACTAGTGTAAGAAACTGAAAAAGTAAATAAAATCTGAAATGATACTGTGAAAGGGAAAGAATCTGCAGAAAGGGAAGAAAAACTGGGATGAGGAAAATGATGGGAGATGGGGTGAGAGAAGAGATATATTTATGTATGTGTGCAAGATGGCTTGGATAACTGCACTGCTGATTTCTGCTGATCTACAGAGGGGAGGGGGGCCTGGCCCTAGCTCAGTCCTTTAAGTGGCTGCTTCAACAAAGCTGTCAGCCTCAGGTTGCTGGAGTTCGAACCTCACAACTCTCCCGCTAGCCAAAAGTGCCCTGAAGGCATTCGAGGAACCAAAAAAAAAAAAACACCAGAGGGGAGCAGTTTATGCTTAAATTTTTTTCTTGTCTTTTTAAGTTTCGTATAACTTTTTAAAACCAATTTTCATGCTTATATCTGGTAATCTGAACAACTAATTTGAAAGCAACATTATGCAATACAGTTTCAAATTCCTATTATTTTTTTTGGTGAAGTTCTGTATTGTCCCTAGGTTTTTTTTTTTTTGTTTGTTTGTTTGTTTTTTGTTTTTACTATTATGTATTCTCTTTAGACAATAAAAAAATAAAAATTATAAAAACGTCTTCAAAAACATTTGCTGAATGATTATGGCAAATGAAATTAAAATTTTAGGTGCCATCTCCATGCAACTTGTTATGTCACTGTGTTATACAGCAGACTAACAGGTCCTTGGTGGGTGTTTTGGTTTGGTTTGATTTGTTTGTCTTTTCAGCAGAAACCTTCAACATCTACAGAGAAGGAAGAAGTCATTCGATTTATTGGAGAAGATGAAAATGTTCATTCCAAACCTCTATTTGAAGCAGATGCCTTGTCTTCCTGGGTATGTATCTGGAACTGAACTTGGAAATTTAAAGCTGTTAACATTATGTGAAAATGATGTGAATCTATATGACTTTTAGTTTTGCAAGAGAACAAGGTGCTCCTAAGTAATGTAGATCTTCTAGATGTTTTTTCTCATAGAATCTTCTATGAAAAACCCTCATTTTTTTCACCTTCACTTTATCCTATTCTCATCTTTTAGCCCCATTTTGATATCAATTTTATCCTTTTGTTCGCTTACAAATTCTCAGTCAATATTTGACCAATTGACATCCCCATTCAGCAGATTTTTGGGGGCTCTGTGATGATCACATACTTTAACCACAAGAATTGCTACAAGATTAGATAGTTAGTGATGGTGGCAGGAAGACCTTTAAAATTTCACCACAGAAATTTCATTCTAGGACCACGGTACACTACTTATTTCTCTATCACTGTCTGTCTGTCTATCTGTCTGTCTGTCTGTCTGTCTGTCTCTGTTTCTCCCCCTCTGCCTCCTGTTTTCCCTCCCTCTCTCTCTCCTGGATATTGTGATTGTAAGAGTCAGTGGGTGGGCTTCATTAGGTCAGTCCCCTGAAATTAGATTCAACATCGTATGTGTATATTCATATTGTGTATTTGCTTGGAACTGGAGGAATCAATACATTACATAAAATTTCTTACCCCTAAAGTTAAGAACCAGTTCACTGTTAAGGAGTCTGATCCATTGGATAGGTGTTGGTATATTTAAGGGTGGGCAGCTGTGGCAGGGGCAATAGATGATAGCTAGGTTATTGAGATTCAACCCTGGCTTAAAGGAGAAGCAAATTACAGGGGTGCACACTGGGGAAGTTATAGGCAATAAGATCTAATTCTGGTAGGAAGATATGAGAAATCATGTAGAGTGCAAAACTGGGGTGAGAAGAGTGCACATTCTCCCAGTGTGGATCATTTTCAACAAGTTTTTATAATAAAACATTAATGTATCAGTCATCAAGACTGCATGAGGGGCCAGAGATGTTAGAGGAGGCAGTACAGATGCAGGGATGCAATGCCATGAGACATGTTTTTAAAACCACCAACCCCAGGCAAAGCCTTCATGTATCAGACTTCTCACTTGAAGTAAGAACACTGCTTTGCTTTCCAAGAGATGCAAGGAAGTCAGGTCCTGGAGCCAGGAAGAAAGTGGGGGGAAAAGGTGCCTGGGCCAAAACTGGAGCACTGCATGTCTTCACTCAGGTTTTTGATCTGCTCCTGGACTCCGCCATCTGTATAATATTGTGTGGTACCATGTGGATAGATCAGTGAGGAGGATGTGGCTCAGAAAGTCAATCTCTGGGCTTGTGAAAAATTACTGCTGCTTAGATCACTGCAAACCAAGCTGTCTAGGCTCTCACTGACCTACAGCCTTGAGAGTGGATCAAAATGCTTTCTAGATGCACAATTATTCACAAGTTTCTAGAGATCAAGAATCACATTTGTCCTGTGCGGTAGTGGCTGGAGCATGCATGAGTAGATTCACGAGGAGCTCAAAAAAGAGGCTTGATTGAGCGAAGCTGGTGGGGCCAAGACTGATGCTGGTAACCAGAAGAGGAGGTTTCCTTGAACTGGCTTCTGAGGTCAGACATTTAGGCCAGAAGGTAAAGCTAGGGCTGGAGTATCTTGATTTGGGACACTTGTTCTTTCTGTTTACCAAGATAAAGGGGCTTCCTCTAGACAACAAGATTTTAAAACTTTCTACTTTTTTTCTTCTGCTTTGATTTGTTTTTCCTTTATATTTTTTTGAGCTGCCCAACCTCTTCTCCTAAGAACAAAATTAAGCATTTAGTAAGGCTACGTGTCCAGGGAACCTATTGGGGAGCTGCGCCCCTGGTGTCAAACACAGCTTCCAGGAGACAGTATGCTCATTGCAGATGGAGAGAGAAGAGGATAGGGAAGCAAAAACATTGTGACCTGCAGGTGCTGGGAACTGAGCTGTAGAACAGGAAAGCTCTAAGATGTAGCCAGGTCCTGGGCTTCTAGTGAGAAGAAGCTCCAGGCTACTGGGGAGCTAGGGACCCAAACATGGAGAATTCTAGTTCATTCTTTGTGTTTCCTTTTCCAAATGACTACAGGATAAGATTCTCCTGGGACTGAGGTGCAAGTGATACCTCAACAGGGGTGGTAGTGAGTTGTTACCAGTTTGGGTAGGCTAAATGCTTGGCCTGGTAATCCAGAGCCTTACTGCTATTGTTACCTGATGTCTTCGTGCCCACCATGTGAGTGGTCTAAATAATGTATTATTCAGAACTGTCCTCAGTGACATGGGAGATAGGGCTTTGGAGGAATTCCTTTTTGGTTGTGGTGTTTGTCGTCTATTTTTATTTTTTGAGACAATGTCTTGCTATGTAAATTCAAGCTGGCTTATAACTCCCTATTGTATACCAGGCTGGCCTCAAATATTGGTAGTCCTTCTGGCTTAGCCTCCTGGGTCCTGGGGTTATAGGATGTACCACCATGCCCAGTTGTAGGGATACCTAAGCATTATACTCAAAGCAGGTACTCCTTACCAAAACATGGCCTCCCATGATGTACATAAGCTCTGCTACCAGTTTGGCATTATATATAAGTCATGGGTGAACCAAATGATCCATTAAGCAGCACTGACTTTGCTTCTGTCTTTCCTAGGGGAAGGCTACTCTCCTTCATCTGTGGCCCAATTTAATCAGTTCTAAGTTGTTTTACAGTGACCTTGTGGTCCTTCCTGAGCCAGAATTAGAATCACAATCCTGGCAGCCTGAATTCTGTAACATTTCAGCTTTAGAGAAATGGGATATCTAAATTCAGGAAGCTCCCTCAGAGGTTACCAAAAATGTTCAGTACAGCTCACCCTAATGCAGACACTTAACTGTGTCATTAAGGTGACTGATCACTTAGCTACTCAAACAAGAAAGACATTAGAAACAGACTTTCTAAGGATTGTCTTAAAACCTATAGGTCTTGTCTATATATAAAAACTTATGTCTAAAGAAAATAGGGTATTTTACTAGATCACCTGTTAACTGCTTTGGAAGAGCGAGCAGGTCCCAAATTGGGATCAGTAGTGTTTACAACACAAGAATAGATATTCTGGCTTTACCTCCTCATTTGTGTTAAAGGAGAGCTGTGTTCTCCTTTTATAACACCATGTACCTTGGCCATAGGGATCAAAAACATTGATTAATCATTTTATTTTATTTTTCTACAGTTTTATTGATAAACAGATAGCAATGAGACAGTTTCAAATCAAATCGGAAGTACAGTTACAACAAATAATACACTGCATATATTCTTCTTAGTGGTTAATTGCTGTACAAGATGCGGACTTGTGATCCTATTTACAAACACCATTAGAACAAATCATTCTATTCATTAAGACAATGCAACTATATATCTACCCCAACCACTTTGAATACACAGATACAGAATGGACATTCATCGGTGTACCCCATTTTTCCTAAGTTCCGTTATTGAATATTATAGGTGTGTAAACTCAGCAAAATATTCTAAAAGAGTCCAGTAGCCCATAATAGCATTGGGTCTTCTGTTTAACTGGCAATGTCAGAAATTATTGACCTGAGTCCCCCACAGCTTAACTTAACTGATTAATCATTTTATAATAGCAATCTGAAAGGGACTTTGAAATAGAAAGCTCTAGAAAGTATGTCCAAAGCTGATAGAAACACAAACCTGGCTGGAAATTGAGTGCTGAAAACTGAGCCCAAAGGAGCTGGTGTTGCAGCAAAACTGAGTCCAGGAAAGGAATGACACCTGCAGAAGTCAGGAAGCAATGAACAGCTTTATTTTACACTGGTGGCTCTGGCTGGAATAACTTTCAACAAGAACCAATTGTTAAGTGTCTGTTAACCAGCATTTTTATATAAGGCATAAGCAGGAGTCACAAAGGTGGGACAGGACAGCCTGGCAGTTCCTGTGAGTAGCTAGCAGGTGAGATAATCAGTTACTGGGCTAGATTAATGGCCATCAGTTACAAGACTAATTAGCGACCACAAAGCTTGGTACAATCAGACATCCTGAAAGTTCAGTTACATTCTCATGGTTACAGGGCCAAGAGAGAATTACTGAGCTATTAAACAGTTATAGAGCGAGGCACCTTCAAAGAGAACAAAGTTTTAAAATGAACAATTTTTCCTAGTACAGTTTCCCTTTCACTGACCCTGGAGCCATATCTTCTCTGAGACATGCCCAACCTAGAGAGGTGGGTCCATTAGTAGAGTCAAACCCCCCGCAAGACCAAGCCAAAAAGGTCAATTGGAATCAGACCAAGATGATCTTGAAGCTGCACCAGAGAGGAACAAACAAGGAGAGCCCAATACATTGTAAGAGCTAAGGGGTCATGTTCATCTCTGTCACTACAGTGAATGAAAGTGTGTGAAAGCCATGGGAAGGTTAAGAATATGAACAAAAGGTCAAATGTAGAACTGTGATTATCTTTGAGGCATCTACATCATTATATGCACGGTACATGGGTAATTACTACTAGATATACATAGAAGATGCTAGCAGCCAAGAATCCAGCATTTCAAATCAAAAGAATTTTCTAAACAGTTGGATGTGGATCCCTAAACATTACTTTCTACTTGCCAGTATCAGAACAGAGGGATGTTTTCTGGGTATATTATCACTGAATATATATCTGGAGATTGAATAATTAGAGTCAGAAGTTCAAATGTATGCAGTGTACAATCCTGGTTTTCCTTGGGTTACATATATGTTTATAGTTGTTTCACAGGGCCATAAAACATATGTATAATTACATTCTAAAAATGAATAAATATTATGTACTGTATAGGAATAGCCATATCACATGCTGCTTGCTCAAGCTGAAAGTATATTAGTTTTCCCTTATCTGTGGGGGATACCTTCCAAGACCTCTAGTGAATGCCTGCAACCACAAACAGTACCTGTATTAATCAGCTTTATGTCACTGTGACAAAATATCTGAGACAAACAACTTAAAGGAAGAAAGGGTTATTATAGTTTAGTTTCCATCCATGATTACTTGGCCCTATAGTCATTGGGCCTATGAGGCAGAGCATGGCGGGGGGCGGTGGGTGCATCAAACTGCTTACCTCATGGCATCTAGGAAGAAAAGGGAAAGAGGAGGAACTAGTGTCCCAATATCCCCTCTAAGGAAATGATCCAATGACCTAACTGCCTTCCATTGGGCCCTAGCTCCTGAAAATTCTGTCACCTCCCATTAGCACCAACAACTGGGGACCAAACCTTCAATACACAAATTTTTTGGGGGAGGGCAAAACAGTAGCTATGCAGGTACTGTGATACTATGACAGCTAATCTAATAGCCAAGAGCAATAAGGTGTGTAGCATATATAGCAGGGATGCGTGTGACAAATGGATAATCTCATCCATGGTGCAACAGGCCAGGATGGTAACACTACTCAGAACAGCATCCAATTTTAAGCTTATGATGTGTTTATTATTTATGCAATGGTCCCTGTGATGTTTTCAGACAATGTCTGACCATGGGTAATTGAAACAGCAGAAAGGAAAGTCATATATGGATAAGGAAGAATTATTATAGTTACTTTTCAAACAGATTACCCAAGAAAGGGCAACAAAACAGACAAAAAAATATGTGACAGAGAAATGAAAAGAGTAAAATATCTGACTAAAAGTTAAAAAACAACACAATATATTTTAAGGGAAAAGGTAGTACAGCATGGTGGAATGTGTGATTAAGGATGAGAGGCCTAGCTAGATAAGGGTTTGGCCTCATCCCGTTAATCATGGTGTCATTATGGAAAGTTTCCTAATGTATTAGTCATCTTCCTGTTTCTGAGACAAAATATCCAGCACCCACAACTTAAAAGAGGAGAGTATTATTTGACTTACGGTTTGCAGTGGGTTCATTCCAAAGCCTGCTCACTCCAAAGCAGAAATGGCAATGGGGGGGGGGGGAGCCTGGGAGATAAATGCTGCTTAACCCACAGCAGCCAGGAAGCAGAGAGTGAGGAGGAGCTAGGAACAAGGATACACCCAGGTTAGCTGTCCAGTAACAGCTTCCAACCAGGCCCTGACTTCTAATAATACACTGAGCTATGAACTCATTAAGAGATGAATACACTGATGGGTATAGCTCCCCCATGATCCAATCCAAACACATGGGACATCGGGAGACGTTTTAGATTTAAATCATAACATCAACACTCAGATATTTATTTCCATGTACAGTGTGGGGTTTATTTGCCACCATTTGGAAAGACACAGATAGATGGGATTTTTGTTAAGTACATATTTCCCAGGAAAATGTAATATTCACTTGAAAGTATGCTTATCATTTTTTCTTCTAATACATTCCTCCACCTTATTTTGATTTCAGTAATATATCTAGATTCAAAATAAGTGATTTTATTTTTCAAATTTTCTCTGTCTGGCAAGATTTATACCTTTATCTGATTTTTATTAAGTTCCTTAAGGAATTAAACAATCTTATTTGACTTTGCAATATCATATGCTTAGTGAAGTAATGAAATTCTTGTCCATATGTAGTATGAATAATTAGGAAGTTGCTACTTGACCACAGGCAATCCTCATTGTTTTTTGTATTAAAGGTATGTTTAATCATATATTGGATGAATATAAGCAGTAGAAAAAGAATATTGTAGAAGACTTGATCTTAAACATCCTGAAGAAGTAGAATATTAACTGTTTTGATTCCCATTCATTTATATATTTCCTTTGTCAGAGAGAATCAGCTAACCAAGGTACGCTGACCCAAAAGTATCTTGAAGCAATGACTGTAATTGAACATATGCAGGCAAAGCTAATGTAAGTATGAAGTGTCATAAAGATAAGAGAATGAAAACTGTTGGTCAGCAGATTGAGCGGAGAAACCCATACTCGTTTGCTTACCTGTCTGTCTTGCTTGCATTAGTCTCATTGGGGATGCGTAGCTCCAAATCTTTTGGAGGCAGTGAATATCATGGCTGTGGTAGGAATGTCCACTCTTATCCACCATGCAGATGGAAGTCAGAGTGTGTGGGGGGGGATATTATGAGTGATTCAATTCAGTATGTTTTCTAATAGATGACTTAAAGAAAAAAAAAACTAGCACTGGGAGATTCTAGTGTGTTTAAGAAAAAATGTTGCATAACCCAAAGAGTAGGAGAATTTCTCAAACTGGTTGTCTTGACTGTAAAATCTGGCTTTAGAGGCACTAAAAAATAAGGAATACTATTGGACTTAATTTATTGGATCACATGAAACCAAAGTTAACTCCTGAAAAGAGGGTCCCTATTGATAGAGAATTTCAAATACCCCAAAGTGTAATTCACCAGTAAATGATAAATGTTATTTCTTAAATCATGGCATGATTGCAACTCTAACATTAGTATCTAGAAGTTTCTGGGCCTTCAATTCTTTGTTAATCTTTGATGTTCCTGCTTCTTCTATTTATCCTTGAATACACATCCATCTACTCCCACTGCCTTTTTTATTTTACACAGTGAATTTCTGTGTCAGAGATACTTGTTCACCACCTTTCTTTTCTTTTCTTTCTTTTTTTTTGTGTGTGTGTATGTGTGTTTTTCTACACTTTGCTCACATCAGGGAGGTTGAAAGCAGAGCCAGAAGGGCAGAAGAAAGGTTTGAGGATGTAAATGAAAAGCTTCATTATACTCTCATAAGAAATACCGATCTGGAGAAGGAGCTAGAGGAAATGGCCTTTAAGCTGAAGCCACAGTCTGAAAAGGAAGAGGAAGTCGAAGAAGAAAAAGCAGAAGAGGAGAAAGAAGACAAAGAGGAGGATGAAGAGGAGGAAGTCAGGCCAGCCAAAAGTGTTGTAAAACCTCAAAAGAAAGGTAAAACTTGCTTTCTCATTTTGCTTCTTTTGGGTTATATTTAAAAATAAACCTTGACTTTGTCACAAGTATTTTAAAAGAACATCAATATCCTTTTTTTTTTAACGTATTTGGTACAGGGTCTCGCTATTCAGCTTGGACTTGTAGTGATCTTCCTGTCTTAGGCTCCCCAGCACTGGGATTACAGGTGTGTGCCACCATGCCCCATCTCGGTAACCAGCTTGGTGTGGGGCCAGCACGGCATGCAGTACCGGGGATAGAACCCAGGTCCTTGTACCTGCCAGGCAGGTACCGCTGAGCTATCTCCCCAGGCCAAGCATCAATATCTTTAGAACTGATCCTACTTCTCATAGGTGTGCACTTACTGTTAACTATCTGATCCAGGCCATATACACACACCGGCGCGCGCGTGCGCACACACACACACACACACACACACAAACTAATAATTGTGGCCAAATAAAATAACACAAAATATAATTTTTACTTTAAAAACTGGTAGATATATTTTTACTGAAAGAAAACAATGCTGATGAAAAGTTGTAACATAGTTTTACAGATAATACTGGGGAAATGCTGGAACTACTTCTGCTTTCCTCCGTCACCCCCATCTTACCTCCAGCAAGAGCAATGAACTCCATCTGCCCTTGTAGCCCCTGACCTGATACCGGGGGCTATGAGGGCTGATGGAGTACTGTTTGGAGGAAGAGTTTGAGCTTACCTTCTTTATTGCCATCAACTCTGAGCTGGTGAAAACATTATTTATTCCAAGGGTGACAATTTTTTAGTTTTAGGTTTCAAATATATGTGAAATTTTTTTTCATGAATTTAAAAAAATTTCATCCTCTTAAATTCTGGAATGTAGTTTTATCCCTACAATGTAAAAACTAAACCTTTTAAAAACTAGACCAGATTTAGAAATATAAATATGCAAACCATACAAAAAGCCTAGGTTAGGACTGGGGAGATAGTTCAGCAGTCTAAGTGCCTGCCTGGTACACATAAGCACCCGAGTTTGATCCCCAGTACCAGAGGCCAAGTGGGTCCCAAAACTGGGCTGGGGGCACACACCTATGATCCCAGCACTGGGGAGGCTGAGACAGGAGGATCACTATGAGTCGGAGCTGTGTAGTGAGACCCTGTACCAAATATATAAATACATTAAATTTTACAAATTTAAGGAAAGCCAAGGTTAAACTGAGAGGTTACTTCCATATGGAATAAGAAACTTTAATTGTGCCCATTTCTATAAAGTCCTTGAGGCTTAGGCCAGATTTGAGAAGTTTTAATGATTTAAGATAGAGGTAGCTATGCACAGTTAGTCCCCACCCTGTGCAAGCCATTTCCACTCTGCTGCCACCTTGCAGACACTGCCGTCACGGTCAGCACTGAGGGCCCGAAAGCGGAAGATGCGAAGCTTCGCAGAGCTCAGGAGGTCTGGCTCCTCACCAAGGCAGCCACTTGCCCTGTGGGTGACCAGAATGTCCATCAGGCAGACATTTCTTAGAGTCGGCAGATAGCCCTGAAGAAGTGCAGATGCAGACACCGCTCTGCTTGTGAGAGGGTGTTGGAGTCACCGTCTCCTCGAGAGCTGTGCCATGAAAGAATGGAAGAGTAGATCATGGTGCGTAAGGAGCCTGTCCGCTCTGAGTAAAGAGAGAGACCCGGACAGAACAGAACGTCTTTATTTTTCTTTTGATGTTCATATTTTTTAATAATCAGCAAATCACTGTGCTCTGAACTATGAGTAAAGAAAGGAATTCAAAAGGGAGTTTACAGAGATAAAATATGACTTAGTCCTTGATCTCGGAAGGGCTTGAAACTGCATGTGGGGAAGATACCCTAAAATCAATGCCAGTGTTGAAGCAAAGTGAGCAAGAGTGGAGGGAGACAGCAGCAGCCAGTCTGAAGGACTCAGAGTGGGAGGTGAGGTGTCGAGGGGCCATTTCACAGCCTGCCAGGAAGAGCAGGCCTAATGGCCCAGGGCCCCAGGACCCATTCCAGGAGTGGGGCTTGTGTTGGGTCTGCGCTGAGGAGACTGGAGAAGAGGGTGGAGACAGGCGAGGGATGCAGTACACAGGAGGGCTCTAAGAAATATTCAGATTTTTCCACCACGCTTGAGATATGAGCAAGAGTGAAGAGGAAATAGTCTTCCTTCTCTGCTCTGCTTCTTGGTCACATAGTCCCCTGCTCCAGCACCTAGAACCCAAGCAAGTAACTCACCATACTCAAACGCTGGAAAATGTATTCTGAATCACAATAACCACTTTAGAGCCAAATTTTGGGCAAACAGCTTGTTTACAGCTTGGAAGTTATGCAGGCAAAATGGAATTTTAAAACTGCTTTTTAAACTTAAAAGCCCATAGTAAATATATTATTGCTATCATCCTCTATTTGTTTTTGTCTTTTCAGAGGCACCACGCAAATCCAAAACCCGGACTAAATCCAGTAACAAGCCCAAGCCCAAGTAGCATCCGTAGAGCACAGGGGTTCACAGTGGCTGCATCCCCTGAACATGCCAGACATCGCTGAGCTGTGGAGCTGACAACATGCCTCCCTTGAGGAATTCCCCTGGCAACCACTGCTAGAAAGGCCGTGGAAGACAACCCAAGAGCTTTTTCTCTCAAAAAACACAGCAGTGGCTAAGGGACTCAGTGTACTAGTTTACTTCCCAGATTAAAAACAGTTTATGAAAAGGTTTGCTAGCCTCTTTGATTGGTTTCCTGAGAGATCTGTGAGAAGTGTTGGTTTCTGTTAAGAATGTTTTTGGAAGACTTTGGACCCTGAACAAAAAAGTGTTAAATAAAAAGCTTAAATGTTTTCAACTCAGAAAAGCGGATCCAGATAATACCCTTAGGTTTCTGTAGCATTTTTAGATTTCTTCTGATTTCAGACATTCGATAACCCTACAAATAGGAGAGGGAGATACTGCTCTCCCCATTTCTAAAAGGATGACAGCGAGGCCCAGGACAGAAGATTTTCTGAAGTTACAGAGCTGATTGGCAGCCAGGTCCCCAAAGCATTAGGCTCCTAGACTGTTTGGCTGTGGCAAAGGGGTACATGGTCTTGGCTCACACGGCTTCCTTCACAGGGCCTGTACTGGGGGAAGACTCACCCTGAGTCTCCTTTTTTTTTTCCTTTTATTACCTACTTTGTCTGTTCTGTTAATGACCCTACATCCATATAGTCATGAGAGATGGACTAACCTCAAAATAAGATAAATGACAAATGTTTATGCTGGGCAGTCACTCACCCAGGGCCACTGCCTAAGCTGTACTTTACCTCTCTGACTCCAAACACTCCTGCTGCACTTGTTCTGGCTCCACACATCTGGAATTCCCTTGGTTATCTCCTGGAATGTGAGGCTTTTACTCATTCAGCCTCAGAAGCCACCTATCTCTAGAGCTCCCAGCTTTATTTATATCTTTATTTTTTATTAGTACATGTTTGCCATACATAACAATCCCATTCATGGTGGGGAATTGGTACCTGTACATAAGAGATCTTAATTGTTTCTTCCCCATTCCCCTCCTTTCCCTTCAAGCCTTCTTCCTTTCCCCATTCAAAAAACTCTATTACCATTTTTTCTTCCCATATCTTTTTTTTAAAAAATCCCTTTACTCTTCCTTCCCTCCTATTCCCCCCTCCCTCGTTCCAGTTTGCATCTGAGTTCTTACTTCTGCATACCTATCCTGTAATTGCCTCTTATTTACACTTTGGGAGTCTCACGCAAGAGAAACAATATGATATTTAAACTTGTATGTCTGATTTATTTCACTTGAGATTGTGGTCTGGAGATGTATCCATCTACCTATAAATGTTTCAAATTGATCCTTTATGGCAGAATAGGACTCCCTTATATATAAAAGCTACATTTTCTTTATCCATTTCCTTTATCATTTGTTGCTCCTACCAACAATGAAAAAGGGTTCCTCTTTCCTCACAGCCTCACCAGCATTTGTTATTGGTCGATTTCTTGATAACAGCCACTCTTCTGGAGATGGAATCTCAATATTGTTTTAATTTGTGTTTCTCAGATGACCAGTAAATTGAATATTTTTTTTCATATATTTATTTGCTGTTTGTATTTCTTCATCTGAGAAGCAGTTATTCATTTCAGATGCCCATTTCTGGATTGGGTCTTTAAATTTGGGGAGGAAGTCTGATTTTTTTGAGTTCTTTATGTGTTGTAGATTTTAGTCCTCTGAGAAGTAGCTGGCAAATTTTTTCCTCTTTCTGTGGGTTATAGCTTTACTCTTAGTAGTTCTTTTACTGTACAAAAGCTGTCTTGATGTGATCCCATTTGTTGATTTTTTGGTAATATTTCCTATACACTTGGGGTGCTGTTCATAAAATCTTTGCCTGTACCTATGTCTTTAAGAGTTTTACCATTCTATCTTCCAGCAGATCAGGTGCTTCTGTTTTAATATTTAGATCTTTGATCCATTTCAAGTTTAGGTTAGTGTATGGTGAGAGTAGCATCTAGGTTCCATCTTTGCTATGTGAAAACCCAGTTTTCCCAGCACCATTTGTTAAAGAGGCTCTTTCTTCCAGTGAAGGTGTTTGGCCCCTTTGTGAAGATAAGGTAGCTGTATGTGCTTGGAGTTATTTTTGCATCTTCTGTTCTCTGATCCTCAAGTGTGGGTTTTTGTTTCTTTTTTTCTTTTCTTTTTATTTTTTCTTTCTTTCTTTTTTTTTTGCCAATCCCATTCCCAGCCTTATTTAAATTGAACCACTTGAGAACATGTACATATGGTCTTCTATATTTCATTCCCACCATGACATTACAAGCATTTGTTTCAAAGTACACATGCACTTGGGTTCACAGGACAGCAAAAGCAGTACTGAAAAGTTTCTGCTCATAGTGGGCAACAGTTACAGCCAGATAGCAGTCTCCTTTTTCTTGCCTAGGTTTAACACAACAGGAATGGAAAATGGGAGATGGATTACCATGGTTACCTTGTCCTCCCCACAGTCTGTTGGACATGTAGTTGTGACTGGGAGTGGCTTGTTTTGTCTCCCAAAAAAGTAGTTTTTCTGATGAGAGATCACAGGGAATTGTTCACTATATCTTTATAATATAGCTCTCAGCAATATTGCTATAATGCTTCTCTAAGTGCAAAAAAAGCTGGAAGTGCAATTGATGACCCCTTTTCAAAAGATAAGACTTCTGCACTCTCTCCTTAATTCTCATTCTCTACTGAGCAAATGCACTGACACACAGGCCAGAATTTTAGAGGGCACGGGAGTGCTCATGGTCCCAGTAGATCTACTGCTGAAGAACAATGTAATAGTCAGGAGCATGCAGAAAAGACTAAGGCAGGTATAGTATAGCTCATACTGTTTGAAGAAATAAGCAATCTGGCGCATTCTATACTGAAATACATTACTCTCAGCCCCTATTTTTATTGACTCTTCCTCAGTTTAAAGACTATCGCTTTTATCCTTTTATTAAATAAGGTATCTGCATACAAAGATTTCCTTTTACATTCTTTTCGTTGGGTATAAATTTGATGTTCAATGTGCACACATCTCTTCTTCCACTTATTCAGGAACACTGAGGGTGGCTGCTGTGTAACCGTCAGGATTGGCTATGAGGAACTGGGAACTAAAAGACAGAGTGTCGTGGGGGCTGGGGCGTGGGAGCAGCTCCTTTAGAGAGCTGGCAGTGGAGCTGGAGCAAAGCCTGAATCTTAAATACAGGGTTGCAATCAAGTGTGATAAGCACAATGATAGGGGCTCAAACAAAGGGATACGGAGGCTGCCAAAACCTCACCCAAGGCCCCAGAGACTGTACAGTGAAAAGGACATTTGAACTAAGGCTTCACAAGTCAAAATTGACCACGTTTAGAAACAAATTTATTCCACCGTAGAATGTATATTAAAGCTCTTTCCCATAATTCCTTTGCTTAGATGATCCACCTAGCTTGTTAGGAACCTTCAACATCCTTCACCATCTCACCGTCTTCTCACGTATGTGTCTGCACTGTGACGTAAGGCTCTCCAAGGACGTTCCGTTCCGCAACCAAAGAAGGGCAGGAAGTGAGGACAGCTGTGTCTAACACAGATCCTGGACAGTCGCAGTATACTTTGCCCATCTATTCTACAACATGGGAGAGTCTTTCTTTTTGGGATTTAGTGGCTCAACAGGTCTGGCAGAAGTTGGAAGGGGGATGCTTCCTTGAGCTCGACTGCTGGGAGAGGACAAGAAATTTAGCATGTCAAGCGGCAAAGGTAAAACCACTGTGGAAGGTTTCTCCATGGACAAAGACTGAAGAGTGTGGAGGTATCGAAGCTGAACAGCAGCCGGTGTACCTGACAGGATCTCAGCAGCCATCCTCAGGGACTCGGAGGCAGCCTTCTCCCCTTCCGCAGCTATCATCTAGGAAACAGATGTGAAGAAAAGCCGAGTAATTGTGCTTCTCTATTCCACGTGGATTTTAATGCTTCACTATTCAGTGTGTTTCAGCAAACAAGCACAGAGGATCTGCTCGGGGGCAGGTGCTGTGAGCACAGAACAGATTTAGCTTTTGTTCTGAAGGCCCTTGAGATCGGGGAGACAGATGAAGCCATTAATCAACATTCCATCAAGGCAGAAGTTGTTATAGGCCATGAAAAATATCCATGAAGCATTAAGGAAGTTATTAATGTCTGGCGGGCTTGAAAAATTAGTAGGATTTTGTCATACAGCAGAAAAATTGGCCAGCATTTCAGGTCAAGGCATGGAATTATGAAAGGGTGACCTTCTGCTTGTTCAAGATGAATGGTAAGCATTTCTGAAGAGGCACCAAGCTTTCCGCCCAGAAGCCTCCAGAGAAGACCCCCTTCCTCCCCTTCGGTGCTCCAAAGCTATTGCTGCTGTTCTGTAAGTAGGGTTTTCTCTTCATCTACTTTCTGTTCTTCCTTTCTTTCCTCATTATCCTCTTCCCAAAACTCCCCACCCTCCTCTCTTGGAAGCTTCTGGCAGCCCTATCTTTGTGCTCCCTGGCATTGAGGGAACTGATCAGGGGTGTTTCTTCAAAGCTTGTGCAGGTAGAGGGACATAAACCAGGATTTACAGGGGATTAACCTAGAGGTGACAGGTGACTGAGATTACTCAGGGAAGGAAGTCAGTGCAAGAGATGGATGATGAGGGAGGAGAGAGGATGAAGGCAAGACTCAGGAAGAAAGTGGACACTGAACAGGAGCTTTGGAGAGGAAGGTGTATGCCTAGAAACAGTAAGAGTCCTTCCAACAGAGTGCTCAGGCACAAGCTAGATTCCACTCAGGGATGAGGCTAAGGAAGCAAGGGAGAAATGTTATCCAAAAGCAGGCCTTCCTTGAGCCCCTGGTGTTCATTTGGGAACACTTGGTGAGAGTTAGGAGTATTCAGCACCAACTCACCCGCACTCTGGCCTGTCTCTGTGCTTCAGCTTCCACAGCCAGTGAGTGCTGAACCCCCGCAGGCAACCTTACATCTTTACTGAAAGAAAAAACAGGCGGGCATGTAGGTACAGCGGTGACCTTAGCATCCAGCGCTTTCTTACACACTTGCCACCCTCTCCACTACTGTCCCCTGAGGAGTACAGTTTTTATTTAATAGAATGTGCTATCTGTCCCAAGGGGGGAACAGAGCCTCAAATGCAGAAGTGGACTACCACTGATGCTGCAGGGGGCTGCGATGTTCTACATAAACATATTTTGGGTCCATATATGATCAGTTTTCCAATTTAAGATTTAATGTAACCTCTAGATATTAAATTTGAAACTGAAAACCAGCCTTGAAGAACAATACAATTAATAAGAAAGAGGAATTTAAGTTCATAGAAGACAGGTATTGATTTTAAAGAGTAAAATAGACCAAATAAAAATTTCAGTGCTAGGGCTGGCCAGATAGCTCAATGGACTAAAGCACCTGCTTAGGCAGAGGACAGCGGCCGGGGTTCGATCCACAGTGTGCCATGCCAGCCCTGCCCATGGGGCGCACTGAGATGGTGAATGAGCCTAGGTGTGGTGGTGCACGCCTGTAATCCCAGCACTTGGGAGGCTGAAAACAGGAGAATCACTGAGTTCAATCTACGTAGTGAGACCCTGTACACCCTATAGACCCTGTCCTAAGTCCAGAAAATAAATAAATAAAAACCTTAATGCTAAATGATACAGAAGTGTCTTGTCTCCCCGAGTATAGCTCTGGAAAACACATATGGAAGAATTTAGTAGTTCTTCAGAAAGTTACTGTATAGCCCAGGTGTCTCATTCCCACATACACTCCTATGTATGTGAACTTGTTTAAACAAAAACTTGCAAGTGAAAGTTCATTCTAATATTATCCAGAACAGCCAAAAAATAGCTAATTGGTAAACAGATAAAATTTTATACAGGCATACAATGGAATATTATTTTACTATAAAAAGGGATGAAGTACTGACACTGCTACACCGTAAATGAACCTTGAAAACATTATGCTGAGTGAAAAGCCAGATGCAGAGGGCCTCATATTGTATGGTTCCACTCGTGAAATGTCCAGAAGAGGCAGATGCATAGACACAGAAACTAAATTAGTGGTTACCAGGGGCCCGGGAGCGAGAGGGAGAGGGGAGCTCCTGCTTAATGAATGCTGGCTGCTGGGGAGATAGCTCAGTAGAATAAGTGCTTGCCTGGCAAGTGCAAGGTCCTGAGTTCAATCTCCGATACTGGAAAAAAAAAAAAGTCCTGGCTGCCTTTTAGACTGATGGAAACATTCTGAAATTAGATGGCAGTGGCAGCTGTACTTGGTGAATATACTAAAATCACTGAGCCATATGCTTTAAAGCTGTCTGTGTGCCAAGTTTTATATGGCTTTTGTTTGTCTGTTTTTGAGACAGGGTCTCGCTATGTAGTTCAGGCTGATCTTAAACTCACTGTGTAGCCCAGACTGGCCTTGAATTCCTCATTATAGCCCAGGCTTTGCCTTGAAATGACAGTTTTCCTGCCTATGCCTCCCAAGTCCTGGGATTACAGGCATGCATCACCAGGCCCGACAATTTTATGTGATACTATATTTTTAAAACAGGTTTGTTTTTCTTATACATGGTGAAAAAAAAATCATGACGATAATTTGCCCATGTGTGACAATATATTGTATATTTTGGCTATGAGATATTAGATGGTTTCTTCTTTCTTTGTTCTAAATGTATACTAATGTGGCTACAGCACTCAAAATGATTTTTCAAAAGTGAAATACTTTAAAAGAAACAAAAGTATTTCCCTGTATTATGTTGTTCTTCCTGGTTATTTTCCTACCCACATTTCTGTTCTCTCCACTTTGATTCCCCAAATACAGGTCACTGAATCCAAGGCAACCTGCGGAAGGAAGGGTTCAGATATCAGTAGGCTCCTCCCAGCAGGAGTAGGGCACACCTGCACACCAGAGGCCACTATGTGCTGACAAAGCCTATTTCCTTTCGGGGACAGCACTTGTCTGCTTGGCTTTGCTCAACTTCATGGTGCCTGCCACAGAGCTAACTTGCACAGTGCCACACTCAGTAATTATTTATGTAACTAAGGTGATGCGATAGGATGACAGTGGCCCCCAAAAGGGCCATGTCCTGATCACTAAGACCTGAGAATGAATGCTACCCAAGAGGGACCCTGCAGTTGTGATTAAGTCAGAGAATCTCAATATGGGGAGACTATTCTGGATTACCACGTAGGCCCCTGAATACAACTACAAGTGGCCTTGTAAGAGAGAGGCAGAGGGAGATTTGGTGACAAAAAAGAAGGGGGTGTGAAGACGGAGGCAGATTTGCAGAGCTGCACTTTGAAGATGGAGGAAGGGGAGGAAGGGAGGAGGAATGCAGGCAGCCACCAGATGCTGAAAAAGGCGAGGATGCGGTTTGTCTCTCAGAGCCTTCAGAAGCAATGGAGCCTGCTGACACCTTGATGTAAGCCCTCTGAGATGGATTTGGATTGTGATCTTCAAGGTTATAAAAGAATAAGCTCATACTGTTTTAAGACACCAAGTTTACAGTAACTTAGTATAGAGGCACTAGGAAACTCATCATATAGATGGTCTATTTGTTACTGCTTTAATATGCATTTATTGGAGAGTAAGAATCTCTAGCCTCCCTGCCCCATGGCTGTCATTCACAAGGTGCTTTCTGTTCCTTACTGTTGGTGGCATCAGTTCCCCCTGCTTCCCAGTCCTTTCTGTCCTCTGAGGCTAAAGTTGGAAACACGGTGGCTGGGGGTGCACTGTGGCTTCTGGAGAGGAGGGGCAGGGCCCGGAGCTCTCCATGCTGCCTGTCCTCTTCCCTCTTATTTTCTGATTATTTCTTAGGGTATACTGGTGGGGTAGGGGAGTAAGGGATGTTGATAAATACACCACAGAGGAGGTAGCATCCTACAGAACACATAGTATTTCTATGGAAAAAACCGGGGGATTTTATGTGGAGAAACAGCTCCGGGGGAGGCCTGGAAGCATCCAAGTGCTGAATGCTGTGCAATCACCAAGTAGGCTGGAGAATTAGATTCAAGTGGAGGAAGGAGGCAAAGCAAGGCCACAATAGTTGGGTCATTTCATTATTCATCCAAACAACTCTGCTGTGTGACAAGATCCATGCCAGGAGCTAAGGACAGAGAGATGAATAAGGTATGACACCTGCCACTAAGGAGTTATCATAATCTGGGGAGAATACATATAAATACATAAATTGTAATTTAATGAAACAAGCACAAGCTTGACTGACAAGTGTCTAGATTTTGTCCTCCAGAGGAAAAGACAAACAAAGGGAACAGTTGGGGACAGTTGGGAAGTATGCTGTGCCTTAAATGACAGAACAATGACTTTCATGTGTCCCCCTTATTCTTTCTTCCTAGTTTCTCTTATTTGTCAATGTTTACCTTTTTCATCAAGGTGCTAATTCTAGTTTTCTACTATTTTGCACACTGCATTTTTTCAGATTATTAAATGTTTAGGTCCCATGAAGAATAATCATGAATGCCTCTGATTCTTAGGGTCTATTTATTTAAATTCCTCCCACCACCTCTATGTAACTTACAGTCTCATAACTCATTCTGGGCTCATGTGCTCCATGGTCTTAGCAGTAGGGCCAGTCACTGGCATTGCCTGTTGGCAGGCCAGCTGCCTGGAGTCTGGCTCTGCTCTCTACATGCCTTAATACGCCTGGCCATGGATGCTAGATTACCTCCGGACTACCTAAGGCTACTCCTTTCTCCTCCTCTAATTCCCAATCCATTAAATCCAGACAGTTGATTGGGCAATTAATCATGAAAGGGTTGTGACATTATAACTGTTCAGGAAGCCTTGGTTGAATTCTCATTACTTAACTTTGTGCAAACTATGCTTATTTCCCCAGCTAGTCTGCAAGCTCCTAGGAACCAGGCTCAGCATCTTCACATACCACCAGCCATGCCCCTCCTTCCCCACCAGCCCCACCACTCCACCAGTAGCCACTTCCAATATGTCGCAAGTATTTCATAATGAATTTAAATCACAGGAGTGGACCCAACAATCACTAGGGGTAGGGCTGAGGGCAAAATGTGTGTACCAGGATTAGTGGCCCAATTTGATAACTTCCTAATTAGCAATAACCTAACAGCATTTTGAATAGTTAAATGCATAGCAAGTAGAATATTTAATAACTGTCTAATAAATGAGAAAAAGATATTTCAAAATATTCAACATTAGACTTATCTACTTACCTTTAAATCTTGGGCAATGGTCTTCCTTTCTAGAAGAATTTCTGTGAGTGATCGATGGGCTAAGAGACGCTTCATGGTGGTTTGCACAAGAAATTGGACAGCTTTGGACACGTGAGCAAGACTGCTTAGGAGAAGAGATGCATTTTCCATTTGGTAGTAGCAGATGGCATCTATCTCTATTATAAGCATGTCTTTGGTCACAACCTAGGCAGAAAAATGTGTGGATAGTAGGCTTGATTCTTGGGCTCCTCTGTGGAGCTAAAGGAACTAAATGTTTTTAAAGTGAATTATAGCAAAGGGGAAAAAAGAGTGATCAGCAAATCCTGTATTCAAAATAGAGATGGTTTTGGAAAATGATGGAGTTTTTATTATATGCACTAAAGAATCCATCATGGGGCCAAGGAGATAGCTCAGTGGAATAAGCACTTGCCTGGCAAATGCAAAATCCTGAGTTCAATTCCCAGTACCGGGAAAGAAAAAAACAAAAAGAATTCATCATGATTTACAGAAATTGTTCCTGTTTTAAATCCTTTCTTTAAAAAGTCAGGAAGAATTTTTGTATGAACACATTTCATTAACTTTATATTATACCTTTCTAAAATGATGCACTCAAATCTGTGTTAAAAAGAGAGGCATATTATAGGAAACAAGTACTCATGCATGTTTCCTGGAGTGTACATTAGTGGCTAATTTGCAAAATAAATCAAAAGCCCTTAACAATGCATGCTCTTGCACTGAAATAGAGGCAGCAACAAAAATCCTGACACTCAAGAAAAGTAGACCTGATGGATTCACTGCAGAATTTTACCAGAACTTCAGAGAAGAACTATTGCCAATACTCCTCAAGCTCCTCCATGAAATTGAAGGGGAAGGAGCACTGCCAAATTGATTCCTGAAAGCTAGCATTACCCTGATGCCAAACCTAGACAAGAAATCAACAAAAAAAGAAAACTACAAGCCAATGTCCTTAAGAAACACAGATGCAAAATTCCTTGATGGGATACTTGTAAATAGACTACAACAAGTCATGAAAAATATTATCTACCATCACTTTATCCCAGAGATGCAGGATGATTCAACATATGTAAATCAATAAATGTAATATATGTCACACAAGCAGAAGCAAGGGAAAAAATTCATGTTGTCACCTCTGTAGATGCAGAAAATGACCTTAACAAAATCCAACATCCACTCAGGATAAAAACCCTGATGGAAATAGGAATAAAAGAATCCTACCTTAATCTGATAAGATCCACTTACAACAAACCCACTGGAAACAACATACTAAATGGGCACTCACATTAAAATCAGGAACAAGATAAGGAGGTCCATTCTTACCATTCTTAATCAAATTAGTATTTGAAATTTTAAAGCAATCCAGCAAAATAAAGACACAAAGAGGTTATGAATAGGAAAGTAAGATAACAAACTATCCTTATTTGCAGATGCTGTCTGATCCTTTAAATATAACATCACCAAATTTTTTTTACCAGAAGACTTCCTAAAACTAATAAATTCAGCAAAGTGGCAGTCTACAGAATCAATTCATGAAAATCAGTAGTGTACTTGTACAGCAACAATAAGCCCATCTTAAAAGAAATCAGGAAAACAATCCCATTCATGGGCTTCAAAAAAATTAAATACCTAAGAATTAAAGACCTCTATAACAAAATTATAGGACCCTTAGAAAAAGACTGACAAAGACATTAGGAAACAGATGTCTCTTGATCTTAGATAGGCAGAATCAATATTGTTCAAATGGTCATGTTAGCAAAATTAATATATAGATTTTATGAAGTTCTAATTAAATTATCAATAGCATTCTTCCCAAAAACTGAAAAAAGCATTCCTGAAATGTATATGAAAGCTAAAGAAATCCAGAATAGCCAAAGTAATCCTGAGCAAAAAGAGCAAAGCAGAAAACATTACAATCCTGGACCTCAAGTTATATTGCAAAGCTACTATAATAAACACAGCATGGCACTGGCAAACAGACAGACATACTGATCAAAGGAATAGAAGAGAGGATGCAGAAACAACCGCAGGTACCTTCAGCCACCTGACTGTTAACAAGTGAATAAAAACATAGGCTAAAGGCAATCACTTTAACAAAATGTGTCAGGAAAGCCATTTCATCCACATGCCAGTGAATGAACCTAGACATGTATCTCTTACTCTGTACTAAAATCAAATTAGAATGGATCAAAGACCTAGATATTAAGACAGCAACACCAAATCTTTTGAATACAAAAATAGGTGAAACTCTTGAAGACACAGACATAGGTAAAGGCTTTCTTAATAAAACTCCAATTGCAGAATAAATAATACCAAAATCAACAAATGGGAGTACATCAAAATAAAAAGCTTCTGCACAGCAAAGGAAATGACTAACAGAGGAAAAAGACTAAAAAATGAGACAAGAATTTTGCCAGCTTATCCTTGAAAAGGGAACAAATATCTAGAAAATATAAAGAACTCAAAAGACTAGACCCACCCAATGAAAATGGGCAACTGAAAGGAATAAGCACTTCTCAAAACAAGAAATATTAATAGCCAATAAATACATGAAAAATGTTCGGCATCTTTGGCCATTAGAAAAGCAAAAAAATAATACTGTGCTTTCATCTTACTCCAGGAAGAACAGCTGTCATCAAGAACTCAAAAACAAAGAAACAAAAAAATATTGATGAGGTTGTGAGGAAAAAGCAGAAAAACCTTTCTATATTGTTGGTGGGAACGTACACTAACACAGCCCTATGCAAATCACTATAAGAGTCCTCAAAAACCTAATAATAGAAATTCCACTGGACTCAGCTATCTCTCTTCTGAGTTATCTTGTCAAAAGAGCTGAAGATATATTACAGTGATCTGCATACCTATGATGTTAGCAGAACAATTCATAGTAGTGAAACTATGAAAGCAGCCTATATGCCCATGACAGATAAGTGGATAAAGAAAATGTAATATATATGTAAATATATGTTACTTAGTCATGAAAAAGAAAAATGGATTGACCTTAAGACTATAATGCAACGTGAAATGAAGGTAAATTCACATAGTTTTTTAAAATAAGAAACCCAAATGAAAATAATTTTAAAAGCATAATAAAAAAGAGATGACGCAGGGGCCAGGGATTAATCCCCAGGCCTGCCATGCCAGCCCTGCCCCCAGGGCTCGCTGAGACTGCAATTGAGACTGGGCATGGTGTGCACACCTGTAATCCTAGCTCTTGGGAGGCTGCAAATAGGCAGATCACTATGAGTCTGATCTAGTAGTGAGACCCTGAATACCATGTAGACCCTTCCCTAAAATACAAAACAGAAAGAGAGAGAGAGAGAGAGAGAGAGAGAGAGAGAGAGAGAGAGAGATGATAGGAAACAAAAGGATACACCTTTCAGACTGGGGAAGGGATGTGGGGAATGGGGCACAGCAAAGGAAGGGATTGAAAGGGAAAATAAAAGTGATTAAGATTTGATGTGTATGTACCAGTTTCCCAATAAGCATTACAAACATATAACAATAAAAAGATGTATGTTCTCAGTATTTTCAAACATTTATCATAGTGATATTTTAAGAATTTAGCAGTAAGAATTATTTGTAGTATTGCTCATTGTGATAAAATACTGGAAAGAATTTACATCAATAATGAGTTGGTTAAATAAATGGTGATATAGTCACACAATGACATACTACATGTCCATTTGAAATAAAGGGCTAGAAGATAGCTAATATATGAAAAGATGATCACCATATCATGTTGAGTAATGAAAAGGCATGTTCCCTCTTCCTGTGAGCAGCTTTAGGTGACCTGTGAAAATGGTTCGCTACTTTCTAGACCCAGAAAACCCCACAAAATCACGCAAATCAAGAGGCTCAAATCTTTGCATTCACTTTAAGAACACACGTGAAACTGCCCAGGCCACCAAGGGTGTGCATATCCGAAAGGCCATCAAATATCTGAAGGATGTCACATTAAAGAAGCAATGTGTGCCATTCCGGCATTACAATGGTGGAGTTGGCAGGTGTGCCCAGGCCAAACAGTGGGGCTGCACACAGGGTTGGTGGCCCAAAAAGAGTGCTGAAGTTTTGCTGCACACGCTCAAAAATGCAAAGAGTAATGCTGAACTTAAGGGTTTAGATGTAGATTCTCTGGTAATTGAACATATCCAAGTGAACAAGGCACCCAAGATGCACCGCTGTACTTACAGAGCTCATGGCCAGATTAATCCATCCACGAGCTCCCCCTGCCATACTGAGATGATCCTTACTGAGAAGGAGCAAATTGTTCCTAAACCAGAGGAGGAAGTTGCACAGAAGGAAAAGATATCCCAGAAGAAACTGAAGAAATGAAAACTTATGGCACAGGAATAAATTAAGCATAAAATAAATGCAAATAAAATTAATGTTGTCTATTTGAAAAAAAATGAAAAGGCATGTTCTCAGTGGTATAGTTCTTTTGTTTGTTTTTGGTTTTTGTGCAGGGTCTCACTACGCAGCTCAGACTCATAGTGATATTCCCGTTTTCTGCCCCCCTAGTGCCGGGATTACAGGTGTGTGCCCCCGTGCCTAGACTTCATCACTGGCTCAGTGCACCTACGAGCAGGGCCAGTGTGGCATAAATAGTTTATACACATAGCCACACGCACACTCATCTGTAAATAAGTCACATACATTAGAAAAGCCTGAAAGAATATACTCTAAATCAAAAGTTATCTATAACAGTAGGATTAGAGGTAAGTATATTTTCCCAGTGTTTTTTAATCAATGCATATTAATTACCCAGAAGAGTTGTGAGTATAACATAATTTGATCATTCCCAATGTTTTTATTGTGCCATCGATATTTCTAGCTCCAGGGAGACCGAGGCAGGAAGAGCACTATCAGTTCAAGGCCATCCTGGGCTATGCAGTGAGTTCAAGGCCAGCCTAAACAACATAGTAAGACCCTTTCACTAAAAAAAAAACCAATCAATAAATAAAGTAAGTTTACTATCAATGATTTTAAATGTACTGTTCTATGGTATTAAATACATCCATAATGTGTATAGCATAATATATATACCTTTCATCTTCATAACTCTTTTCATCTTGTGAGTGAAACTTCATATCCATTAAACCATAACTCCCCATTACCCCTACCTGTCACCTTTGGCATCCACCATTATACTGTCTCTATGAGCTTTATTAATCTAAATACCTTACAAAAGTGGAATCACAGTATTTTTCTTGTGCTTGCTTTCTCACTTAGAAAGTGAGAAATAAAATCAAGTTTCAGCCATGTTGTAGCATATGTCAGGATTTCCTTATAATGTAAATAGTCCACTGTTTGGATGTGTGACGTTTTACCTATCTATTTGTCTGATGATGGTCACTCGCACTACTTCTGTCTTAAGTCTTACAAATAATGCAAAGACTGAAGTAAAATTAGAATAGGTTTTATTTCTTCCTTTTATTCAATTTTATTATCTAAAATAGACATTTCTCAAAACATAATTTCTCTTTACAAAAAGAATAAGAACCCCAGATTGAAAGTGGAAGAAAGCTGAGGAAAAGCTTATAAATCTGAATCACTGAGAAAAATCTGAAAAAAAAGAAAAAAGAAAAATCTGAAGGAAAAAAAAGCAATCTACTTGTTGCTTTCGAGGTTTTTAGTTATAGCAAACTACAGCATAACATAAGATTTACTATCTTTTGTGGTGTACATTTTAGGACTAATCTTAAATATAGAGTTCAGTAATGCAACCAATTCCCAGAATGCTTTTCGACTGGCAAAGCAGATGTTCATTTTAGGTAACAACTGCCTGGTTCTCCCTCTCCACCGCCCCTGGCAACTACCATTCTACTTTCTATCCCTATGAATTTAACAAGTCTAGGTACTTTGTATAAGTGGAATCATTTAATACTTGTTTGTTTTTTTTGGCTGGCATATTTAGGTTTCTTTAAGATTCATCTAGGTTGTAGAATATGTTAGAATTTTCTTCCTGTTCAGTCCTCAGTGACCATTTGGGCTGCTTCTATTTTAAGGGTATTATGAATAACATTGCTATGAATGTAGCTGTACAAATATTTCTTCAAGATGCTTCTTTTAACTCTTTGAGGTATACATAAAAATGAAAATTAATAGGTCATGTGTTAATAGTTTTAATTTATTGAGAAGCTGCATTCTGTAGTCTACACTGTTTTACATATCTTTCATTTTTTAAAAATTTTCCTGAAAAGAAATTTATTTGTCTTTCTGGCTAAGTAATACTCCACTGTGTCAGTACATCAAGTTTTCTTTCTTTTTTCTTTTTTTTTGTTTTACATTTCTATAGTGTACATTTCAGTTGGAGAGGATGTTATCTACATCCTCTTCCACACCTGTTGTTTTTTATTGTTTTTATAGTGCCCTCTTAGTGGATATAAGGTGGTGCTTTGTTGTGGTTTAGATTTGTATTTCTCTTACGACTGATGATATTGAGCATATTTTTATATGTCTGTGGCCATTTCTATATTATCATTATCTTTGTATGTCTTTGGAGAAATGTCAGTTCAAATCTATATGAGACAGGATTTTCTAGCAAAACAGAACTATGAGAGAGAGAGAGAGAGAGAGAGAGAGAGAGAGAGAGAGAGAGAGAGGTATATATCTTTTTTATATATCTTCAATATAACCCCCTGTAAGATAAATAATCTGCAAATATTTTCTCCCATTGCACAGGTTGCCTTTCACCCTACTGATTGTGTCCTTTGGTACAGAAAAGTGAACTCTGATGTAGACCATCTCTTCATTTTCTTTCCTACTTTTAAGCATAGTCATTTTCCCTGGGTTAGAATTAGTAGCTCAACCATGGAAAATGTAGAAAGAAAGCCAAAGCTACCATTTTCTTACCTCATGAAAGGGTATCTCCAAGGTCTGGAGACGAAGGTCCACCTTGCGGTACGTATCTAGGCAAGGCAAAACGAAGAACAGACCTAGAACAGGGGTTAGAGGAAGTAAGTAGGTGAAGAGTGGACATGGACAGTGTTTGGGGATCACCTTTTCAGGTTCAATTGCCCATTAGCCTCCAACAACACAGAGATCTTTGGGAAATCTTGCCTCTGCCCCCAAAGTGATTTGTTTTGTTTTGCTTTGGGTTATTTTAGGGAGGTTGTAGCTAAGGTTCCCATATAAATTGTTATTCAAATTGGGACCTTTCTGAGGATAAAAAGGCATCTTAAAGCTTACTCATAAGAAAAAGTGTAAACAATTATTCCCAGAAAATTGGGCTCTATGGTTTCAACAGAGATTTCAGATTTCAATTCCATGTCTGTCTCTACTTCTGACAGCATTCCCTAAGTACACTGTTGTATGCATTATTTTTAGCCTTATCATCTGATGTAGGGCCTTGTAGGTGCTCTACAAAATTGCTTTTAATCTATGTACCCATCTGTCAAAATTTCTTAAAATATGAGCCCCACCAGTAATCAGAATAACATTATCATGATAGCAGCCTGCTGGCTGACCAATTAATCCTCACTTATCCAATAAAATGGACAGGATCGCCTCTTTCGGGTCCTCCTTTCCAAGATGACGAAAAAAAGAAGGTACAATGGTTGTGCCAATAAGGGCCACGGTTATGTGCAGCCTATTTGCTGCATGAACTGCGCCCGGTGCATACCCAAGGATAAGGCTATTAAGAAGTTTGTCATTCGGAACATAGTGGAGGCCACCACCATCAGGGACATTTCCGAAGCGAGTGTCTTCGACGGTTATGTGCTTCCCGAGCTGTATGTGAAGCTGCATTACGGTGTGAGTTGTGCCATTCACAGCAAAGTGGTCAGAAATCAATCTCATGAAGCCCGAAACGACCGAACTCCTCCACCCTGATTTAGACCTGCTGGTGCTGCCCCACGACCTCCACCAAAGCCCATGTAAGGGGAGCTCGGTTTTAATGGACTGAAGAAAACTCTCTTGAGAAAGAAATAATAAATTGAATGTTATACTTTAAAAAAAATGGATAGGATCAATGTATGCTAAGCATCTGTAGATGAATTTACTGAGATTCCAAAGTTCCTTGAGATGCTATTGGATTCTTCAAGAGCCATAGATTTGTTGGAACCAGTAGTGTCTCACAGAACTTAGGCTCTGTCTAGGGAGCAGCACAGCTACTAGCCCTTCTGGGATATGATGGAGAGGGCTCCAGAATAGAAGGGCCACAGCAAGATGGTTACCTCCTGGAACTCCAGAGTTTAGTTCTACTTTTGTATGGACTCATATGTTGGGTTCTGAATCTTCAAAGTCCAATTTGTGTCTTCCACATTGGTCTCCATTCTCTACTTGTTTCTGTGGGCCCTGCTGAGAACTCAGAAGTTTTCCAGGATATGTACCGTGGAACTTTGCTCTTTCTCTTGCTTTCCTGGCTGCTTCTATCTCCAAACATTAATTTCTAAATATTTCAGATCAATCGTACCTCTATCTATGCCCTATAGTCAGCCTGGATCCCCAAACATCATTTCCACTAGGTTTGAGGACTCTGAGGTCAGAGACTGGGTCTTACTCATCAACTCGGTTGTCTCTCCTAGTTAGCACAGACTGAGAACACAGAAACGATTTAGTATGCTGATCTTTACCTGTCTTTTATGATTTGATCTGTCCCCTCATTTCTGAAGTAGTTCAGTTTTTCTCTGAGAATTCACAGGATATA